TGACCTGCCCTCACAGAAGTTAACTCGCAATCTTCCAAGCTCAAACCATTGAGGTGGGGTAAGGCTTCCAATACATCCCACATATCATCGTCGAAATCCACCCAAGAGAATCGAAGAACACGAAGGTTGAGGAGAGATGGTAGTAATGAGGTCATCGAGTGGGAGACGAGAAGATAGGCGTCGATTACTTTGATGAGATCCTTTTCTCGGTGGTGCGTCATGGAGGAGAGGTCAAGTTCATCTATGAGTCCCTTGAATTCGTATTCTTGCACCATTGCACGCAGTTCACTGGCGGTGGGATCGGCTGCTAGAGATGAGAAGCGGGCAGCCGCACCTCTCAGCCTTTGTAAATCTTCTTCTGCATGCCTCATCATGGTGTGCTTTATCTCAATACCATTGAAAGATATCCTGTGAAAGAGAAATTTTCTGCAAATGTGATAGAACAACTGGCAAACTAGAAGCAACTGCTGAAGGTCGTCGCGGTCAGAATACATCAAGCATATTTGCCACAGTTCTGTTGGTAGTGTCGTGGAACGTTGAAGTGCAGTGTTCATCACTTCGCTGGATAGGAGATTGTGTGCCATTGCTTTGAGTGACGTGGTTTGAGTGATACAACGATACTATTGAGTAGGATATTGAGTGGGATTGCTCTTTGATGATAAGGAAAGAGTGCTCACCTTGATGAAAGCCGGGTGTACCTTTGTTGGGTAATATGTGGGTTATTCCTTTTAGTATGCCTAGTGTACCGCCATTACAGCGCTACGTCAGACACAAATAACGGCCTCATAAATATGGCGCTGGATGGTACAAATAAGCGACGTGGAGTATCAAATTAGGAATACATAACACTACCAGTTGTCTCTGCACGCGAAATACCTCAGAATTCCACTTGCTCTTCAGCTTGCTGTTGGGTGTTGCTCGAGAAGGCGTCACTGAGACAATTTTCGTTACCAGTATGTCCTCCGAGCGCTCAAGCCTGCTAAAAATAATATATGCCCTTTCCAGATGGTTCAAGGTATAGGAGATATGGAGGCTGAAGAGAGACCTGTGCATACCTGGCTCAGACTGAGCGATACCTTAGCTCGAAGCTTGAAGTTTCAGGCTGAATGATCATGATGGGATCCCGATCGGACCCGATCGGACCGGACAAAGCGTATGGTCCGAGTGAAAGCACCTGGTAGGCTCGTCTGTGAAATAATTCCTGCTAGATCTCAAAGTTGGCCTACTTAGTAGAGCCACAGCATGGCATCGTGTGTGTCCGTCCACGAAATATGTCGCTGGTACGTTCTATTTCAAGCTTGACAAACTTGACACCTCTCGCCGGCTTTTCGCTTTTAGACTGCCTACGCGGGAGTATATCCTGATATGCGAATAATGGTTAAGAGTCGCCCTCAAGTTCGCCAAGTGCAACACGTACCAGTTCCCACACTGTTCCCAATGAAATCTCCTGTTCCGGGTACGTATGCGGTACAACTCTTCCCCCACACCTGCGAAACTTGGATTGAAGTTAGCAGTCTAATGCCCTTGCAAAATGGCGATAAGGCGACGAAGCCCCACATAGTAACACCACGTTCTGTCATGGGCAGTGTCCCATAAGCTGTCATCACAAGCTTCACAGCATTCTATAGCATCTAATATGCTCAGTATCTCCAGTGTTGTCGTTGGGCCAGGTTAGTCCCGTATATATGAAAGGTGGTATTGCCACGACAGTGGACATGGACTAGGAAGTAAGGATGCAATCGCTAGCGTCTCCTTCCCATATTAACAACAGACGCCTTTAAAGAGGAACCCAACAACTGTCATCTGTGCGAAAGTGATACAGTGTTAATACTTCTCCAAGCAGATGCAAGTGCCTTTTTTATACATGGTAGGTGGAAAACTGCGTACCTTTTACTCACCCTTTCATTCTTGCTCTCTCACTGTTATTGGTGCTCCGGACCACTCGAGAAAGTGGCGGATCCTTCTACAGTTAAAGAAGATATTCCATAGCTTAGTTCGTCTTCTGCTGACCTTGTGAATCGTTGAATTTTATGTTAATAGTGGCTGCAGAAATCATTGTAGATCCTTACATCACTAAAATTTCCATATTAGGTATGTATATTGAGCAAATTTTGAGCCAAATGCGCCGAATTCAGCAAAAAGTGCATGATTTCTTGCGCTTGCATGTTCTCAAAGCCACATAACTCTCAGGCTCCTCCCCATCCACTGTTGCAAGAGAGGAGGATGATTATTAGGGTGTTGAGTATAGCACTATTATTAGAAAGTTGCGTGATTAATTGAAAATTTAAAGTCAGCATAACCTTGGTCCTCCCTCTCTCTCCACAGCGGCTGGAATTTAACATCAGTAAACAATGGTTGCCACAGTGACTCACCTGAGACCAAAAATTGAGCACCGAAAAATTACAATTTTTTGAAAAATAAAAACATTATTCCACGCAACCTGTGTCCATTCTTGGTAAGAAAGATAGAGATAGAATGAACTGATATGAGGACACGAGGCTGAACATCAACAATCAATCCACCACAATGTTCAACAACCATCTTGAATCCATCATTGAGTTCTTTACTCAATCTGACACCCAGCCTTCCCAGTTCCTCCTCTCTATCCTGCAAGACTCTCACTGCAACCACCACCTCATCATTCAAGATCTCTTAGCACAGTTTCCAACTATCCTTGCAGCTTTTTTCAACCACCCCTCCCTCGCTATCCAAACAAAAGAAGCGGTGCTGAAATGGGCCAAACATCTTCTTGAGAAGCAGTGCATCCAGAGTTCTGGTCCACAAAGATACCAGTTGGCACTTCAATGAAAGAAATGGCGGCAGAGTATAAAAGTGACGCACCAGTACTGTGGGACATACTGGACACCCTACTTGATGGGGACTCAGACAGGTCAGTTGATGGTCTGGACACAAGTATGAGTGAATGCAAGAATGGGGAACTTGATGATGCAGAGGATGTTACGATTCTAATTTACTTTATCCTTCACCTTTTCCTTTACTTATCGGACTATGTTTCCTTTATCTAGTGGTTATCACCCACCACTATCTCTATATCTCCCCACATGTACGCTTTTCATCTTATCTCTTTATCTCTTTGTATATCTTTCCTTTTACCTTACCTTATCTTCTATTTCCTCTCTTGGACACACAGCCATAATCCTATACCTTGTGACTTATAGTTCTTCTAAGGATACTCCTTATAGCTACATTACAATCACCTGTTCTTGATCCATTCTTGCTATTTCTCCTAGGATACTCCTTTAGGACTATAACCTTCACACCTTGGAACCTGGAGGTTTTTACGCTATTGGCTCTTACTTACAAACCCAGTTTGGAGCTGAGCTTAGATTCACTAATTACTAGTATATAAACCCCTGTATAACAGTAGGATAGGACAAGTTGAATCTACTCTACATTTCCCTGCTATTATCATGAAGGAAGACCTCAGTCCTATCATCTGAGGAGACTATACATCCATAAATCTACCCTTATCAAGGATGGAAGACTAGAAACACGGATGGTGGCATATCCTTAGAGTCGAATGCAATCTAGAGGCAAAACAGATTGTAACAGAGGATACTTATTGGGCACAAATAGACAAGATGGATCTAGAGGGAATGACTGAGGTTTTTTTCCAAGACAAAGAGTCTCGGGCTTCCAAGGCAAATGAGTGTCAAAAGCAGCTATTGTGGTAGTAAGTAAAATATTGTCCTCCCTCTCCGATATCACATTTATACAAAACAGAGCTAGAAAAAAGTTGTTATAGTCAGTATAATAATGCAAAGCACCAGCCAAAAAATGAATGCCTTGCAGAGTGTTATAGGCATCTTACTTCAGTCTGCGCATACTCTATATTAGGAAAAACCATTTTACTATATAGCCAAGCATGTTTCTATGGCTACTACAACAGCTCAAATATTACCATTATAGTCAAAATTATTTTACAATAGTATTGTAAATGCTATGGTGGCTATAGCAGCTATGATAGCTTGTTTCTGTCTATAAGAGGTTTATTCTGAAGCTGATGAGAACACTATTATTGCTCACTAAATGAGTTGGCATGCACAGCAACCTGGCTATTTATTCAATAAGAATCTATCACAGATGTCTCAAATATTGTCTACATATCAGTGGCCAGGCATTGCTATGATAGATGCTATAAGTGCTATAGCAGCTATAGCAGTTATGGTAGCTTGTTGCTTTCTATAGGATGTTTTTCTGATGCCAATGAGGATACTATTACTATTATTGATTTAATAGCTTGGCATACATATGAATCAGCCTAATTGTCTCATTAAAGTCTATCACAAATATCCAAATCACTCAATTGAACAAGCACTGAATAACGCTATTGATATTTTATCAAAGTGACTTGCTTGATGAGTCTAAGAAGAATTTAAGCGGAGCTTGAAGATGTGGCACAAAAGTGTTGCTGACTTTGAACACTATAGTGGTGGAAATAAAATGGATGTGAAAATAGGGTGAGTGTGTGTCCATTTTCACATACTTCTTAGGATTAGATTAGATTTGTGTGCCACATTTTTTTCAGAGTCAGCTCTTGATACATACGTGGCACTAGTGTGATATTACATGTCACATCACAATGGTACACCATTGCGCTTCAAAGTCTTGCACATCCTCTATCCTCTCAAGTTGCAACAAAATTGAGCTAATAGCACACTTGTTAAGTATGCTGTTATAACAAGTGTGCTATTAGCTCTAGGTATATTTTTTAAAAATAACTATCTTATAAGGTACTGAGATTAGCTCTGCTATATTCACAGTGGCCACTGGCACCAGTGCCATATCAATACCCAACATATCCCCTCACTACACCATCAGCTGGTAGTAGTAGCATACACAATTGCTTCAATTATTACTGAGGTACATTATAACTACTCCAAAGTTTGTTTGACCACCTTATCTTTTTCTGAATAGGTGTGAATAGGTTAACAAGCCAAAGTACATTCATCCATTTACTACATCTATACCTATAATTATAATCACTTACCAGACACTTGCACTATCCATCAAGGCTTGAAGAACTACAAAGAATACTTATCAAGTCATTCATAAAATTCTGTGAGTGGAGTCAAAGTGTATTTATACAATTATATTGAATATTGTTCACAGTGAACAGTATGAGTATCTAAAGACCAAACAGAAAATCAAGAGGATTTTCTAGTTTGTGGGGGTTCACTTCATTACAGTAGTTTACTCTATGCAAGTCATACAACAGTATTAGGAATAAAATTTGACAGTTTGCTATATGTGGTCTCTGGCTATAGTAAAAGTGAATTTAGTATGATTGATCTGAAATAAGAATCTAGAATTATAATATCTCTTATACTCTATGAAAGCAGCCATAGTAGAGGCAAACTGTGTATATCACAAAAATGCTACTATAGCAGGTATAGCAAATGGCTCAAAATAGTGCTGCTATATAGAGCTATATAATAGGGACTTGTCTAGGTGTACTATAGCTACTATTTTCTCTATATAGCACCATGGTGGCTATAATAGCTATAAAAGGCAACTAGGTTTTTCCTGATGCAGAAAAGGTCACCAATACTCTCGCACACATGGGCATCTCCATTTCAGTGACCACAATACATGCCGCCATTTGGTCATTATCTATCCAATCTGAGAATGCCCTTTGTAAGCTAGGACAAACACTTCTGGCAGTGTATGCCTATGATAATTTTGATGTAGAGCTGAAATCTTGCATTCCTACCGTGGAGAACTTGGCCGAGTCATTAAAACATCTGACCTCAGGCTTGCTCTTTTCACTCCAGCACAACATCACTCCACAGAATCTGATATGCTCACAAGAGCTATGGATTAAATCATCATTAAGCCCCACTATCATGGTTAGTGTTGCCGCAGTTTGGTATGGTTGGTTTTGATTCAGTTATTATTAGCTAATACCTAATTTGGTTTATAGAAATTAATTCATTAATTACAAACTATAGTTTCAGTTTAGTTTCAATTCACAACTGACTCCAAACTGGGATGGCACTTTCTTTAGTCATCCCAGTTATCTCATCAGTCAGGTTGACAACACTATTGGTCACTCTTATGGAATTGGCAAGTATCTCATTATTGATCACCAATAAACTCATCCACCATCAGTGTCTACAGTTTGTTTTCTGCTGAGGTCAAGGATTCTACTGGCTGTGGTCTCCATGCTCTCGCTGCATTATATTGGGGTTAGGGTTACTGTGTGTTTCTGCACATAGAGGGTAGGGTTAGGATTTAGCATCTCCCATTGCCACAATGTTAGCGTACACACAGGAGCCCACTGCATGTTATAGCCTTGAAGATATAGCTATTGTTCATTTAGGAGACAGTATCAACTGCAGGGATGAGAGTGTCATTTGTGTTTAGCACATATAAGAATTTTTTTAATAAGTGGATAGAGGAGCGTAATGGGCATAAATGGTTTTCACCAGTTACAAATTATTTTAAATCACAAATAATCAAAAATAAACTATAAATAACCATTAGTAAGCCAAACCAAGGTTTGGTTGTGTAAGGAATCAATTTTTCTCATTGCATTCCCATCATGTCGTGGCTATCC